ATTCATCAATCCCAATACAATTAATATTATAAAATTCATATATTACCTCAATCATATTTACTACCTATAATCATCCTCTAGGACACAATAGTGTTGTAAATTGAGCAAAAGGATACAACATTGCCAAGAATGGACAAAAAAATACTGTATCTGAAAAGAACAAACTGGATTAAACGAAGTGATTACATCTAAACCGAATTATTTGGTTTATATACTGATTTTTTTGGTCGAAGGTTTATATACTGATTAACTTATTAAATTAAAAGTTTAAAACCTTAAAACTCGAAATTGAACCGAAACCAACCAATAGAAAACGAGTGAATTGTTTGTTGCCACAAAAATGGCCCTTAACTTTTTCTTACCTACCAATTCTGTTGAGGCAGATGGGCTATAATTATGTTCTGCTTGAACATTTATTATCTATTTAATGTTCTGCTATAATTATGGGATTTTGATTTGTGAACTATTCATTCATTTTTTTTTAACTTATTAATGTTTTCACTGGGAAATTTTCAATTCTTCCCAAGTTACTAATACTTCAACGCACACACACATTACTTAGAGTTTGTGGTACCAAGAGATTGAATCTAGCACATGATATGAAGAGTTACGGTGAAAGATGTTGTAAGATTGGAAAGTAATTATATAAGCCAAATGATGAACATACAACAGAATAAGAATCAACTTACAGATTATTCTAAATGAAAGACAGATCTTTGCTACTTCATCATGTGCATAAAACTTATATGGTTTGAACCTTTGATACAAATGCGTCAATGTTGATATCTGTAGAGCCTCCTTCACTAAGTGACTTGACTGCCAAGTCTCTCCATTTTTCCGCGTTCTTCTTAATCTCTTTGCTCTTTTCTCCTTCCATCACTTCCTTAATGCTAAACTCAATCTCTTCTCTCTTGGCAATACCACTTTCTTTCTCTGTCTTCACACAAACTCCAGCCTTCCACACATCTTGTATATACTTTGCATTCATCGGTTGATCGGTCCATTGAGGCATAGCCACCATTGGAACCCCAAAGGTCAATGCCTCCATAGTTGAGTTCCAACCACAGTGAGTCAAGAAACAACCGATGGCTTTGTTTGACAGAACTTGAAGCTGAGGACTCCATTTCAAGACCAAGCTCTTCTCTTTATACAATGTCTCAAGAAACCCTAATGGGAGTTTTGCCTCCTCCGAAGATCTGACCACCCAAAGAAAGCTAAAGTTCCTTACTGCTGAAGCAAGCTCTTCCATTTGCACACTACTTAGCTGAGCCATGCTCCCGAACGCTACATACACCACTGACCCTTGTGGCCTACTGTCAAGCCAGTTAGTGCAAAAAGTAGCATCTTCTGAATCAAAGAGATTTAGATCATACTCGGTGTCTAATTTGATCCGTTGGTCTAAGTACATTGATGGAAGAGTCGGACCAATAGTCAACACAGGACAAACTTTCGACAACAACTCCTTCTCCTGTAC